GGTGGCATGCCTGGCAACACGTTGGAATTTCAGTCCGTGGTACAATGCTTACTGGGTTCCATTTCTTGCCTTGAAAACTGATTCTCTGCTTGTGGGAGAATTCTCTGTTACTGAGCTGTGTGGTACTAATCTAAATGATGTGAGCATTATAGATAATGTTCCTGTGTTTAGCAGTGATGAGAAGTGCTATGGCAGTTTTTCAGTATTTGTAGAGAAGGCATGTTCTAACAGCAGGTTTCTGTAGTATTTTGGTCATGGAAATGTTAAGCTTGCCTGATACACTAATTCTGATGAGACAGATTTTGAGAAACAATTGCCTTTGGAATGCACAAAAATATTTTTACCTAGAGGGTATCAACTGTGACAAATTGTTCTATGATAACATTATTTCCATCAGAAGGTTTGCACCCTATAATCTTTCTGTCATTATAACCTCCCTAGCTTTGGACAAAAAAATCTTACCTTGATTTCCTGAATACCATGCTTGGGTAAAAGCATGGAAAATGTTCATGTTTTACTTACTGTGTTTGTTCATTCAAAAAGAAATTAGATTCTGCCTCCTTCTCAGAAGAAAATTAAAATCAAAACCCTTTTTTTAATTTTCAGCTACTCATATTCAATTAAGTTGAAGAAGGTGAAGTTTTTGTAATACGTTGTTCTTTTTTTTTTTTTTCTCTACAGTAAAGGAAGCTTTCAATAATGTATTAATTTTTAATGATACCTGCTTGAAATGGCAGAGAAATGTCAGGGGAACTGATGTGGAAGACAGATACTCAGTAAGTGACAATCTGTATTTTTAATCTAGAAAACAATTTATATCAATCACCTGTATGAAAAAACCTGTAATTTTTCAAACACTCACTGCTCACAGTGTTCCTCATTCTAATGATGTCTCTCATAAAAACCTAGGGAGTAAGCTTTCATAGCAGCCTTCGGAAAAGAAAAAAACCAACATGCTCTTTTGTAGTCTCCTGGGTTTTGTTTATTTTTTCCCCCTTTTCTACTCTATTTTGCCTTCCCTATCTGAACTTTCAACTTTGTCATATTTAGGCCTCAGACAACTCTGTTCCAATTCTATGGAGTCTGTCCACTCTGACTTTGATATGCCTTCAATCTTCCCTCATCCCGGCAGAGCATTTCTACACGAACTATCTCTGCCAGGACTCTTGACCACCTGCTGTTGTCTCAAATCTCCCATGTGCTAAGAGGTGCTCAGAGATTGTTTAAAGGCATAGGATCTATTTAAAGGAAAATTAGCACATGATTAAAATAGAGCAACCATTTTAGTTTTCGTTAACAGAGGAGTGATCAGGAGAGGCCTAAGATTAGTGACTTCATGATCATTTGGGACATCAACAACAAAACAAACACACAGAATCCTACTGAAACAAACAAACAAAAACCCATGGGTCTGCTTCTAGCAGCTTCTCACAGAAGCCACCCCTGTAGCCCCCCCCCCGCTACCAAAACCTTGCCACGCAAAACCAACACACCTGGAAACAGCTGCCTGTAGACAGATAGTGGAGGGTACTTGGCATTTTCACATAGGTCAAAATGACTTGATTTTGACTTGATTCTCAGGGTCAAACCAGAAGAGTGTTCATGTGAGCTTACTTTCATAATTTATCACTTTGCACTGTGAGGGTATACTAAAATGAAAGTGCACTATTACTGGAAGCCTGTTTTGTAGCAGGAAATCAAAACTTCGTGGAAATTACAGTAATAATAAAAAAGAGAATAGACTAGGAGGAGGAGAAGTGAAAGAACTAGAACAATGTCAGAGCTGATCAAGAGGGACTGCAATTCCTGTCAAATTTTGGAAGTGTTTGAATTTCAGTAAGTCACTGCCAACATTTTTGGCATTCAGGATGCAGTGATGTGTTTTTCTGCTATTTCTTCTAATTTAGAGCATGACTGAATGCAAGTGATGTATTAAAACAATGCAATTTCCATGCTGTGATTGGTTACAGTTTCATGTGCAAGGCCAGCGTTGGTATCAGAAGGAGTTCTTTCATGAAATGACCATCAACCTTACCACACACAAGCAGGCTCCAGAAGTTTGTTTTGATTTGCAGCCAGGCACCAATTACTCTGTTAATATTTCCATGGTAGCTTTGAATTTTTCGCTGCTCATTTCCATGACAACACAAATCACAGGTAGGTACTGCCATTTGTTTTATGTATTTATAAAAGCACCTATTGGGTGCAAGAGGCTTAAGTGAAACAGCATTGTTGACCTTAGTGTTGTATGGGTTGTCAAAGTGTGCTTTCCATGCTCAGAATTGTTCATTGTTGTTTGTTTTCACAGATTTCGTAGAGTTGACAGTCCAACAGCAGAAGGGGCAGAGAAATGTGGTTGCAATGTTTTGGAGTGTCATTTTGGCACAGCAGGGAAAAGATAGTTTGGTGGGTTAGACACAAGATTGGTATCTACGGGAGCTAGGGCAGGGACTTTAACCCATCAGAGGATAAGTCACTTTTTCTGTATGAGTTCCCTCCACTGTGAACTGGAGATAATAGCAAAACTGCACTTCATGTGGGTATTTATGACAACACATATCACTGAAGTCTGCAGGGATCCAGAGTAGAGAGTCCTGCAAGTACCTCAGACAGGTACCTTCATCTGTCATTGGTAGAGTATAAAACATAAAAGGTATTTGAGCAAATAAAGTTCTGTAGGGAGAGTCTTGGCTTCACTATTTAACAGGATATTTATATGGCACTAAAAAGCTGTGATTAAAAACATGTCATTTTTTAGCTCGTTTTTACCTGTACTCTGCCCTGGTGAGGCCACATCTGGAATATTGTGTCCAGTTCTGGGCTCCTCAGTTCAAGAAAGACAGGACCTACTGGAGAGAGTTCAGCGGAGGGCTACGAGAATGATTGGGGACTGGAGCATCTCTCATATGAGGAAAGGCTGAGAGCACTGGGTCTCTTTAGTCTGGGAAGACTGAGAGAGGATCTGATCAATACATATAAATATCTAAAGGGTGGGTGTCAAGAGGATGGGGCCAGAGTCTTTTCAGCAGTGCCCAGTGACAGGACAAGGGGCAGTGGGCACAAACTGGAATATGGGAAGTTCCATCTCAACGTGAGGAAAAACTTCTTCACATTGAGGGTGACCGAGCACTGGAACAGGCTGCCCAGAGAGGTTGTGGAGTTTCCTCCTCCGGAGATAATTCAAAACCCGCCTGGACATGATCCTGTGCAACCTGCTGTAGCAGGGGGCTTGGCCTAGACGATCTCCAGAGGTCCCTTCCAACCCCTACCAATCTGTGAATCTGTTTTTGTTTAGAACAGTTTTGCACCATCCTTATACTGTCAGACTTTCTGTATTAGGTTATTATCATTCTACTGTGAAGTGCAGTGTTTGGTGCTGGGTGTCTGTCTTCATGTTGGGGCCACAAATTGTCATCGGTAAGAAACATGAAAGCCCTCTGAGTGTCTGTACCTCTGTTCAGGCACTAGATGGAACCAGTTCTCCTCTGATGATTATGAAGAACTGGGGATTTGTGGGGCTTTTGAAACTAATAGTATTACAATATTTTTAATAGTAAATCTAAGGTTTTTAAGCTTCATAAAATGCAAAACATCTCGTTTCCTAAAGCTGTTTAGGATATATGATGACCTAGATTTATTTTTTTTTTAAATGAAATTACAGTAATGATTTTGTAATTAATTTTCAACAAGTTTCCTAGCTGTCACTCAAAATGGTGTCCATGAGTTCATGAGTACATGTAGCTTTGCAAAAAACTAATAAGCTGTCTTAGAATTTGGTCGACTGACGGAATTTTTTGAATACATACTCAGAGTAGCTCTTTACTCCTAAACTCTGCAGGATTGCATCAGTTCACTTCCTCAGCAGAACCCTTTGCAGCAGGTGCTGTGTGAAGTGGTATTTGTGCCTTGGCAGCTGGCATGTTTTCCCCTCTGCTGAGTTACTGCTTAACAAATGCACGTGCATAGCCCCGGAAGAGGTCTTTGCGTAAAAGTTAGGTCATTTCCATCTTGAAAGAAGATCCTGCTACAGAAGCCATTTTCTATCTTGTAGTTGCCTTTTTCAATGAGCAATAAAAGGTAGGTGTGGCTCTCTCATTAAGAATCTTCATCAAAAACTTGCCATGCAAACACTCCATATTGTGCTTTTTTTAATGGAAGTCAAAAAATAAAAGTACATCTTTTTGTAGTTGAAATTGAGTGAAAATTAAAAAGCCAACAGCAATCATGCTGCAAAGCTCAACAAATAATGAGAATTTGAGTAAGATGTTAAGTTCGTTGCTGTTTCAGCTTATCAAAGGTAAAAAGGACACAGTTAGAATAATTCTGGCAGTGTCCCTTTGACTTCTGTGCCTTATGTTTCAGGAATTGAATTATCTGTACAAGCAATTTATTTAAGAACTATTTATAATTTTAGAGTAGGTGTATAATTTGCTGCTTCATTTGTCCAGTTATTTTGTAGTCATGTGCGTTGTTAAACCAGACAATTTTGTTTCCACGGTGCGTGGAGTGATCTCAGCTTATCTGCCAGCTCAAGTCTGAAAAGTGGTGGGTTTTTTGTGCTCTGGTGGTTTTCTGGCTAAATGGTACTGTATAAATGCAAGATCAGCCTCAAGTACAGAGACTCAGAGGAAACTGAGAAAAGTGTTTTACTTTTAATGTACTGTAGGTGGCCCCATGTGTTTAAGGTTTCATATAGCATCCTTTAACAAATGCAGTCAGCTGGTCTGTTTCCCCAGTGGGGTCAAATCCAGATGTTGTATCTCCTTGACTTTCACACAGCTTCTGCATTTTAAGAGTTCAGGAAATCTTAACTGTAGAGTTGCAACTTCTGTGAAGAGACATTGGATGAGCACTGCCTAACGGACTTTATTATCCTTGTCAGGAAATTATCTGGTGTAAATTTTTAAATACTGTTGCAGAATACAATAACCATGTAAATGCTAGCAGTAAGTTTGGGCCTTTTTTCAGAAAGGATGATTTGCAAATGCATGTTAAGAAAGCTACTTTATATTCTGAATATCTATATTTGTATTTATGTATCTCCTCAATGAGGATATATTATATTTGTAGTGTTTCTAAAGAAAAAAAGCAAGGACTTGGGACTAAAAAGCCTGCTTTTCTCCCTGGCAAGTAGTGTCCTTTAAAAATAGTTCTGTACTAAACACAAAGTTGGTTTTGCCCATCATCTTGCAGATGGTAAATATAGTCTAGCAAATGCTTTATGGATCATTGAAATTCTGCTCCTTTCATACTTGCAGTACCAGGCATCTTGCATGGTCTTTTATGTCTTCTTAGCTTATTTTAGACAAGCTCTTATCACCTGTCTACTTGAGATAGGAAACTGAGTCAGTTATAAAAAATGATTAGGCAGTGATTATATTGTAGTTGTAAAAAGATGGTAGCAAGATTGTCTTTTATGGAAGAAGGGAGTTTGTGTCTGGAGGAGTGTCTTGTGGATGTACTTTCTCGTTCATTATTCTATTGGGACTACACTACTTACACATGGCTTCCTTTTCCTTTTTGAAGATCATTTATTAAGGCATGCTCAGACGAGGCATTGTTCTTAATTTGATTGTTTTCACATAGGAATTTAAGACGACTGAATTTTGTAACCACTTTCAAGTGTTTGAAAAACAGAATAATAGATGAAGTGCCAGTGCTTTTGGTTTCACTTCTAATATCCTAAAGAAGAGTAAAGTTTTCAGTTGAGCTGCATTAAAATACTATTAATATTTGAATCTGTTTGCAAGCTCTGCTTTGGGATAGATTTTTTTATGATGGATATGACAATATTGTGGTCTTTGGGAAGTTCGTTAATTCCTACTTATTTACAATGTCTGGCTAGCTTTTTTAGTTTAGAGCAGACCACTGTGACCTAAAACATCATACTTACATGACATAAAATTTTCTGGACACTAGAAATATATCCTTTGTGCCTAAATTACTAGATTACATTTCCTTCTTGTAAAATAATTAAATTGTAATTGAATCTCATAAAGATTCAGTGATGATTTCTCATTACTCTTCATCCTCTCAATTTTTTTGTTATAATCAAGGTGTATTTTGAGTTCCTTCTATGCTTACTGTTCAGACATGCTGCCATTTCTTACGTATTTGTACATGCACTTTCCAGTGGGTTTAGGTAAATTTGACCTCAAGCCTGTGTACCTTCAGACAGTTGTAGTAGTTCCTATGTTTCTAGCTGCTATTGGTTTTGTTTTAGTCCAGGATATACCTGCAGGCCACATAGTCTTGTGTATATATCTTCTCTCTCTTCATATAAACATGTAAGTCAGTAAGAAGAGCCACAAGCAGGGAGTCTAGAAAGTGACTTGAATTAGAAGAATGAATTCCCTCACATACTGAGTATAATCTTCTAGAGCCCTTCATTTTCATCTCAGTATGTGAAAAGCCTACTACATTACAGATCAGATTGTGATGTCTAATTTGTTTGCCTGCCCATGGATGTATGCTCACACTTAAAAGATACATTATTGTTCTGCTCTATGTGATGGAAAAGATTTACACTTACTCTTTCATAAAGGGACTTCTTTAAGGTCTGGAAAAGGAGAGAAAAGCCAGATCTACTTTCCAGTAAGGAGGTGAAAGACTGTTGGAGATGCGGTGATCTGACAGCTCTTATTCTGACAGCACATCATGTACCTGCAGAAAGACAGTCTGTTACAGTGTGCAGCTTCAGAGCATGAGTATTGCAAAGAAAGGAGCTTGTTATTTATGCAGTGGGGGAAGAGGAGTGATTAAAACCTGAGCATGATGATTTTTTTTTTTTTATGTAGGGAGTAAGTTAGCTGCTAGTCCTGTAAACACTTTCATACATATGTTCATGCACGCACTTTGTAGTTTTATGTAGACGCTATTCAAATGCATGGTTTTTAAGTTCGTACGAACTCCGTTTCTCTGTTCTTTTTCTGACCTCCTTCATAGCAATAATTTTTTCATAAATACTTGCAAAGTCATGATCGTTCTCATCACCTCTGTCATTCTGTTCACAAAGCACTTGATACAGGTGGCACAGTCTATGCTTTATAGCCAGTCCTGTACAAGCTGAACAAAATTCTTTGCTTTTTCAGTCTTTTTCCATCTGTGTGAACTGGGGGTTCTTTAGTATTGCTTCAGGTAGTCCTTTACAAATTCATAGTGATGTATCTGCATCAGCCTTTATGTTGTGCTCACCTAGTTAGTTAAAGTAGTTATGCTGTAATACGTACAGTAAACTTAATTTGGACTTGGTGGTTCAATTCTATTACTATTGTAAAGCTTAGTCATTAGCACAAAATGATGAAGGAAGGTTATAAAGAGGGCTGTGCTGGCACTGAGCAAAGGGGGTTTTTAATAAGGTACAAGTCATTCCATTTAAGAGGTTTTGTGCATATCCATATATAGGGTAGGATAGAAGTGGATTTGTGCATTCATTGTTGAAGTGTCTGTGTATAGGAGATTCACAACCTTTCTTGCCTGCATTATATATCCAAAGGTAAGTAGCACAGTGTTGTCCCAGTTACAGCTTCTGAGCTGTACAAAAGGTCAGATGACAGGAAAGGCAGTAAATATTCCTGTTATTACTGCTGGAGAATGTCATAAAAGTAGCCATGCTGCTTGTATTGTGCCAGTTTGCCTGTGAAGTTCTCGGACTGCAGCAGTAAACAGTATTGGCAAAACACAGGGCTTTAAAACAAGAAGTAAACAGTTAATTTCCAGGATTGAAGAAAAAAATTTAGCTCTTCCATGATGAAATGCCTTCATGATAACTGATAGTGAACTGCTTCCAGCGTGCTAGCTTTTTCTGAAGAGCGTGATTAGGGTGTAACACCAAACAGGCTTTTGCTCCAGCGTTGAGGGGTGTGCTGTTTGTGCTGTTCCAATGGTAGGCACTTCCTGGCATGCACTTCGTTCCTGTAGCCCGCCTACGTGTTCAGAGGGAGACTCAGCAAATGGCTTTGTATTGTAGAAAATGAGCCTGAATATGAAATGTCCAAGTGTTAGTAACATAGCACTGCTATGATAGGGAAGTGCTTCGAGTGGGACTATCACTGGATATACTTGCTTTTCTTGCTATGTTCTGCATTTTCTGGGTGCTGCTACAGATATGTTAATGTGTTCTGCTGGTGAAGGTTTTAAAAAAAACCAACAACCCAAAACCCTTTAGAAAAGGCAAAGCACTAACAGCACCTGAGCAGACTGGAGGATCTTGCTTTCTTCTCACAGCCCACGTAGTGCAAAGTCTTTGTCTCTCTGTAGCTTTCCCCTTTTCCCTTCACCTGTTTTAGATGGTGTTAAGTCAGGTTTTTTTCCACATGGATTTTTAAATCTGGAAATTGTGATGATCTCACAGCAGACTTTTTAAGATGTTTCTAGAAATGTGTTTCTTTTAATAAAAGCTCGCAGTGGCCAAATACTGCGTGTGGAATATCTCCTTCAGAGTTTCCTTTCTGGTTATTTAAGCAAAAATGAAGTCCATTCCTATTATTATTATTACTGCTACTTCACATTGTTGCAAATTGTTCACTTTTCTTATTAAAACAGGCAGATTGTCTTCGATGTGTTTGATGTTTGTAGTAGTTAGTATTTCTTACCAGCAACTACAAATGCAAAAGAGTCCAAATTTTGAAAGCACTGTGTGTGGGTTTTTTCAGATTTTGCTCTCCTTCGGACACTTACTAGGGCTGTCAGTGTCAGATGGCTGTTTATTTTCATGTTTTGCATTTTTCCTGTCAAAGTATAGAAAATAAAAAAAATATAGTTGTTATGAACTGAATCAGCAGTCTGTTTGCCCCCTATTCCCCCTTGCGTTGCTGACCTGGAAAAAAGATGCAAAACTGTTGCATGCAAAGCGCATTCTGGCTGGCATTAAAGAAGAAATTCCCACGGTTTTCTTGGAAACTGGAAAAATCTATAGAGAAATTAATAATAGTGTCTTCTGGTAGTACTGGATGCCAAAGGAAAGGAAGATAGGAGAAGTGTGCCAGGTAAATCTACCCTGACAGATATTTTTTCCTGTCACTCTGTCCACTGGCAACGTCTGTGCTGCGGAACCATTGAAGTTAAGGGAGGGTTTACAGTTCTTAAGTTCTGTTTGCTTAGGTTTGCAAGGTGTAAAGGACGTAAAGGTTTGCTGTAAAATATTGTTAATTTATTTTGTTCAGCTAGAAATACTGTCTATGCATTTTACAGTATCTGCAGTTGCAGAAGTATTGAAAAGACCTTCTGAAGTAAAAACCATTTCCTGTTCTTGCAGGCAGCCATGCAATACACTTCATTAACTCAGAAAACTGTCTGAAAGGATTTTCTGCCCTGTCTCCGCTAGAGGGAAGCCATTGTAGAACATTAAGGATTTGCTGGATAGAAATCTTATTCTCATTTCAATCCTAAACATCTGTAGCTGATTTCTTCACTGGTAGTTTGCCCATAGCCTGGTTTTGAAGAAGACCTGGTAAAGGGAACTACCAGAGCAATTTATTCAGCTAGGTAAACTTGCAGGAGGTTCTCCTGAGGATTATTTTTGCCAAGGGCAAAGTAGGGTTTTTCTTCCTAGGGATGCTTGTATGGCCTATTGTCTTTATTTTGGGCATACTGTGCTTAAGTTGTTCCTTTCCCATGTTTCATCTGTTTAAAGCAGAGATTGTGTAGGCTTCCAAATTCCTTTTTTGTAGGCTACAAAGACAAGTTTTTGGTTCTCTCATATAACGTGATTTCTCCTTTGTTTGGATCTTTCTTGTAGTCATCCTCTGCACTGGTTTCACTTAGATCTGGTGGACTGTGAATTGATCACACCTGGGCGTTCTGTACCTCTGGTGGTACTACTCTAGTGTTACACAAATCTGTTTCTTATGCTTTTTAAAGCAGCCTTTTCCTTTTTTTTTTCCCCTGTTACAACTTTGGTGACTGACACTTATTCTGAGATGTATTAATACGCTTTTCCTACTACTCAAAGGAACTTAGAGTATAAAGCAAAAAATTCGTGTTAGTAGCCACAAGTGTATCACCTTGAACTTTATACTGGTGAATTTAATCCCATTTCTGCAAAACAACAGCTGTAAAGGTGATTCAGTTCTTCCTGTGTAATGTCTTCATACTGCTTTTGCTTTGCACCATCTAGCATTGTTTGAACAGCAAAATTAATCTGTATGCACCTGGATTTTGCACCATGATTGTTAACAAAATGCCAGACTTTAAGTACTTACATGGTTTAGTCTTGGAGGAACTCCTCTAGTAACCTAGAAACCTCAGTGTTTCTGCTTCCAACATGCTGTATTTTGCTAGCTCCCTATTTACCAGTTATTTACCCACTTCACAGGTTTTTTTACCAAGCCTCATTTTCACTTGCTGAACTAATGGTTTTCTGTGTTTCAACATACATGTGCAGGTATCCATATTCTAGCTGTTTGAAAAATCCATGCCTCTCAGCAAGATTTTGCCCAATGTGACTTAACTGTGGCAAATCTGCATTGATTTTCTTTTGTTTGTCACCATGACATTGATTATTCTTTCTAACAGTGCTCCGAAGTCTTGGCTTTCTGTATATAAGCACTACATTTGTTACTCTTTAGTCAGATATCACATCAGCAGCTTGATCGATCAGTTTTCAAACAGCCTAGCCATACCTATAAATATCTGTGCTAGTTCTTTCGGACTCCTGGGTAGATAATATCAGTGCTTCACAGTCTTCTCCCTTGGTTGTGCACACTGAAGCTCTTTTCATTTTTGCTTCCAGGCTGATAGGGATAATTTCCATTACCATAGCACCAGGCTCTGTCAGTGTGCAGCTGTCATCCTTGCCATTGAAATTAGAGGCAGAAGTGTTTGTTCAGTATTGGCCTTGATGCAAATTCCCGCTAAAACAAATTAGAGCTCTGTACCCATACTGACATTAAATTTAAGGGGCTGGATATTGCTAGCTGACTGTGAGTAGTAACTAAGGAAGTTGTGTCCTTGAAACTGCTTTTGATGCTAATAGATACTCCTTTATTCATACCATTTTATTTCCTGTAGTGGGCTGTGTGCCCAGAGTTTCATCTTTTTCTTCTTCTTGACCATTTCAGTTAGTCTAACAAATAATACTGCTGCTTCTTTCCTGTCTCATTTGTCTGTAGTCTACCGTCATTTTGGGACACCTCTATTTTTCCCAGCTAGCAGATATTTCAACACAGGTCTTTGAGTTGGGGCTGCTCTGCCATCGTGCTTGTATTTGCTCTCTGTTTTTCTTGACCAGACTATTTATGTTGTCTGCAGACTTTAGCCATCAGGGGTTTGAGGCTCAGTTAACAGAGGAAGTTTTTTGGGGAAAAATAGCTAGGAACCCTCATGCCTGAAATATTTCTAAGACCTCTCTAAAACACTGGTATTTGTTTACTTTTTAGATCCCCCTTTCCCAGATGTAGAATTTGTTGCAGTAAAAGGTTCCTCACCCTCGCTCAGACTCCGGAAAGCAGAAGATCGAAATGGACCAATCAGGTTTGTATCTGTGCATTCTTCACCCTTTCAAAAAACATCCTGCAAATTTATGTTACTTACATATCGGAACTTTTTCTGGGGGTTAGGTTATTTTTGTTAGCAATGGGAGAAAACTTAAGCTGTAACTCCCAGTTTCTCCTCCCTTAGCAGAGTAATATTTGGTTTCAGACTCTTACCTGCTTTCTGGAACAAAATTCTGGTTTTGATAATCCTGAGCTTTCACTGTTGGGTTTTGGTTTTTTTTCCTTTATCCACAGTGAAGTCACAGCAGATTTTTTTATTGATGGATCCAACAAACTCATGCAGACAGTACTTTTTTTTTTTCCCTAGGAGCCAGAGGAAATGGTAAACAATGTCTGTATTTATGGATATTCTGAAGTACTGTTTTCATATTAGTGTATTACTACCAAAATATATTTCTAGAGAAAAAGGATTTACACCCTAGTAAGTGCTGTCTGTGATAGAAGGAAAAGGTAATTGTAACTCAGCATTACACTAAAGCAGAAATTGTTTGAAAGCTAATAACATTTCAGGAAATGACTAGTGTAACAGCCCTAATAATTAGTCTTCCTATGGTTGGATACCATAGACTAGACATTGTTTTGGGAGGTATGAAGACAGATTTGATTATTTTTTTTACAAATGGTGTCTGTCATATCCTTCTTTAAACAGAAAAAAGACTTGTTTCTGGGAAATCATGAATAGTTTAGAGGCCAGTCTTGTATTGTTTCATAGTTGAACTTACGTGTTAGATGACAGGAGCAAGAGATAGCCTGCAATAACTCAGTTTGATGCTCATCTGAACATGCGTGAACATGTAAAGATAATGTGCATGTAACGAGGAGAACCAGCTCTAAGCTGTGCATGCAGTGATTTTGGTTCAAAACACAGTGGAACACACACACAGAGAAGTATTTTAGTATAAGAAGCATTGGTATTGAACATTGATCATAAAAAGCTGTTAAGAGGCTACAAACAGAAAAGACAATGTGAATTAGAGAATATCTGATGCATAGTATGTTGAAGTGAGGGCTAATGTTTACTTTTTTTGTGGGCTAATGTTTACTTTTTTGTTTCACTCTAGTCTTTATCAAGTGATTGTGCTTCCTCTGGGTTTGCAAAGCACTTTTATTTGTGAATCCTTTGCTGCTGCAACTTTCTTTAGTAACACCACTGATGTTAAAGGATATGTGGCAGCTGAATTTCGGGCGAAGGATGTTGCTGATAACATGTCAATTGCTCTTGGAGACAGACATTACTACGGGAAGTTTTATAATGCTCCTTTAAAGCTGGGAGAAGAGTATTATGTTTTTTTGAGAATAATAAGTGAATGGAATAAGGTAATGGATGTTTTAAAACCTTTTCTTTATACATGTTGAATGAAATGTTGCTGGCGAAAAAAGAGGAAAATGTTAGCTTTGTGTTAGATTTTAAAATTATTTTATGATGTTGCAAGGATCTGTTCGTTCATAGAATTAGATTAAGTCTGAAGCTCTTTAAGTAACTCTTGTAATTCTGTACAGATATTGATGTCACTGTAATGTTGGAGCAACTCCGGATGCCAAAAGGCAAACAGTGGAAAAAAAAATAAAAATGAAGAGCCATTGTTGTCCTCAGTAATTGAAGGTGTCTTTATTAGGCCAGAATTTAGTGAAAGAGATTACTATGAGAATCTGAAAATTACTCCTTTGCAATGAAGAATTTACCCATTTTAGTTTGTAATGGAATGTTTTATAGCAAAATATTCCAGTTCTCCAAATGACAAGGAAAAATATATTTTATCATGTGTGTTACTTTCCACATAGCAATGAATGTGAACCCCAGCTCCCTTAGGAAAGCCTTGTGGAAAAAAATATATTACTAGCATTAATTTTTTGTCATTTTAAAGTAAATATGTATTTTAATTAGAAACAAAAAGTTCCTAAAACATACATCTCAGTTCTTTCATGCTCTGTTGTCTTGTCTCCCAGGATGTTACTGTGCCACTAGTTTTCCAGTCATTACCTATCTCGGGGGTCAACAGCTTGTAATTTTTTCACAATATAAGTCTCAGCAGTAGGAAGTTTTTCTCGTATGGGCCAGATGATAGACTTTTCATGTGCGTACAGTTCCTGAATGTCAAGTACAGAAACAGAACAAAGCTATCCCTACTAAAGAAAAAACCTAAACAGTGCCTCACCCTGCCACTCAAAAAAAAAAAGTTTTAGGACTTTGTGCATACAGCACGAAGCAAGGAGACACACAAAAACTGTCTGTGAGTCACTTGTAAATAATTCTCTCCAGTTCTGGAAGCCTACACCCGAATCTCAGTAAGTGAAAACAGCTTCTATTAAGAAATGTAACTGTCTTAGTGCAAAGCGAGTGAAATAAAGCAAGTGCATGTAGTAGCTGTTACTGGTACCTACTATCTATGCAGCACATGTTTTGTGTAACGTATGCTTTAACAATAGTCTAAGAAGCTTTTATAGTACAGATAAAGTGGTTTCTGATCCTGATACAAGTCTGTCATTTGTCATAAATTTTTAATTGTGTGAGGGAATAAGTAGAAAAATGTCATTTGAAGGCATTAATTTTATAAATAATGTTAAGTTAGCCCAAAATATCCTGGAATTTGGACAACAAACTGTGTTTTTTAGAAAGCTTTACTCTGTTGAGCAGGATTGTTAATGTGTCAACTGTATACAAGTTAAGCCTCTTTAAGCTCTCCTAAATGCATCCTTGAACTCAGTTTATGTATCCTTAGATTTTATGCATTGGTT